GAAATATGATGCAGTAAGTATATACAATAGTACTGTTTGTTAAGTGGTCGGTGATTCAGGATGTCAGTAGCAGTAGTACGTAGCTTCGGGTGGTTGGGTGGTTAGTAGTAGTTTGATTATGGGGCTCGGGTCGGTTTCATATCCGGCCCTGGTCAGCTACTTCTACTACTGGAAGTAGCTTTGTTTATTTGATACATTTGGTATATAGGACTTATCCACTGGGGGTTCGCATATACTTGTTAGTAAGTAAGTATTGTTGAGATTTTATTCAACTGGGTGTTTCTGCGTATATTTAATAATTGGGGTTCAAGTATCGACGCCTTAACTCATCGCTAAACTCAACTGACTCAAATCAATCATTCAACCAACGCCATGTACACGTAAAAGCTCATTGCTCCTGGCTCGTAACGCTTTTCAGCTTTTCGCAGAATTGAGAACATTGCATCCCAAATAATGTTCATCCAGACCGATGCTCGCATAACATACATAACCATATCTTCGTTCAGATTGCATCCCAAGTCTAATATGGGATGAAATCGAATCTCATCCGATCTACACATCCATTAGTATTATCATCATCGCAAATAAAGGAACAGTACATACCGAGATATTGACTCCATCCCTCGTTTTCATCTATTTGATTCGCCCAATACTGTTCCAGGAACTTCAATGACTGCAACACATTTGGTACGCGAATCGTATCGTGCAGCGAAGACAGTAGCCGCCGCACTTGCTCGCGATCTTCTCCGCGCGCCTCACACCCAGCGATGAATAGCGGGGTAGTCAGCATTACCCACGGACTCAGCCCCGGAGACGGCCCGATCTGAGCCGTGCATTCGAGGATCCTCTTAACGGAGTCCTGCACCACAGGTGCAGATGCTGGTGTCTTTCGTAGTCGACGATGGATCTGAATGAGAGCACTGAGTTGGAAGGCCTCGTTACAGAGCATGAGCTGTTGGATACATTCTGCAGAAAGACCCTCCACGACGCCCGGGTAGAACGCGGGCTGCGAAGCCACATCTTGTTCCATGAGATGACGGAGCGACGACTCCAGCGCTGCAGCTTCATTGTGTACACTGACCTCGTTCCCTTGGACAGAACTCTCATCGCCTTCCTGCCCCCGACTCTGATGCTCCCGCCAAGCGACGGCCCCAATCCTTCGGAAGATCGTGGCCAAGTTCACCGTAAACCCCCAGTAATCATCCAAGTAATCCGGCGACGCCGACTGATTTGGCCCAATGGAGACCAGCTGATCTGTGGCTTCACCTATAGGCGGCCCATTCCCCGTCAACGCAGTCAGCGACACGATTGACCGATACCATCTATCCAGATACCGCCTGAACCCCTCTGGCGACTTGGGCGACAGCGCCCCGCTCTGATCTGACGCCTCCATCAGAGCCCGCGCACCTTCGATATGTGCGCGCCAGGAATTGGGGTGGATTGCACCGGAGTGTATCTCTGCGAGACAGAGCGTTCGGGCGGTTGCGAGCAGCGCATCCGATCCCCTGCTCGCAGGATTTTGTAGTTCCGTTCTGAAATGTTCTAAGCTGAGGGCCATGAAGCGTGCGATTTCGGGCGCGGACTTGACATTCTCGGATTGATTGTGGAGGGCTTGAAGGTGGATAGCGGAGAGGGCCATGGTTGCGTAGAGGAGGGACGGAGTCTGAAGCGCCATGGGGACGAGCATCTTGCAGATATCGCGCTGCATGCCGGAGTGGCAAGCCGTGATCTGAGAGGCATCGTTGAGGAAGTGATGGAGGAGGGATTTCTGGTCGGTAGAGAGGGAGGCGAAGGGATCAATATGGCGGACTAAGGTGGTGTTCGTGGGTTGGGTAGACGGAGATGTTGCGATTGTGCCCGGAGAAAGAGCAGCCGCAGCTTTTGTGGTGTAGATGAATTCGCCAGGGGAGTACTCTGATTGCAAGTATTCAAGTTAGACCAGTATATCCAGGTATACCACAGGCTAGATGGTATTCACCCACCAAGTTTTTGCATGCCTCCCGGTCCCACGCAAGCCCCAAACCGTGAGCGCGAAAAGGCTCGCCCCCCCCACTGCAGCTGCATCGCATATCGACATTGCGTGCCAGCCGTCATGCAGCGACCACAACTGGGACGCTGCTCATCGCATTTCTGCCGTCGGGCTTTACATCGTTTGCACCCATTGAAAGATCGAGACATGGAGTTGGCGGGGATGAGGGGATCGCAGAAAATGTTGCTGATTGCTTTTTTCCCTCTGCGGAGTCTTCGGCTCTTCCCCGGTTCAGGGGGGTTCGTCCTCTGGTTACTTCTCCGCAGCTGATAAGAGTGACAAGGTGGGGGAATAGGTGTCACCAACTGTCGATGAACGTTGTCAAGTTCTGTGCGGAGAAGATGGAGAGGAGATGAATCCCAAGCCGCAGGTGTGCCACGAGCCCGTGGAAAGTCTTACCGGTCAGTGCGAGAAACTAAAAGTTGAGACCGATGAGATAAGGCGAACCCAAGCGGGACCCGCGGCTTTCTGTATAGCGGCCGATCATCGATCCACCGCTGCTACCAATCGTCGTGCTCAGAACAGCCGTTGGGCGCTCTGCGTAGATCGGATTCTGATGTCTCAGATCAGAGTGTGCATGACACAGTACCCTAATTTTTCCCCAGACATGTTCTCCAGATTTATCTATCTACTTTGACATTGATCGTCGCCACGAGGGGGCGGGCTATGCATGGCTTGCGTGCTTCGGAGCGGAAACCTTATCGGGGCCGAGTTTGTTGGCTATGTGCACACGACAATGGCATTTCAAAATGATTTACGCTGAGAATCCATACAATACAGCCGGAGCAGGTCTGTGCTCGGCCAGACAGAAGCAGATCAAACAAGCACGGGGTAATATGTCACATCACGTCACACTGCTCTATTGAGCTCTAGTCATCGAACGTGTAGCGCAGCCACTCGCCAACCGCCCGCAAACTCTCCCACCGCACCGATTCGTCCTTGTCCGTCATCAGCTCCATGACACGAGTCTTCAGACCCAGCTTTTCCAGCTGTGCCCGCCGTTCGGGCAGCTCCTTCACCAAGTGACCCACGTCGTTACAGGCAATCGCCAGCACCTGTTTGTCGTTATCCCAGCTCTTAGACATGATTTCGGACAGCTTCTTCGGCAGTGCACCGCTGTTTTCGTCGAGGATGCGACGGGCATTGTCCTTCCAGAAGGTAGGGTTGCGGTGGGGCGGGGACCACCGGAGGTGGCCGGACTGCAGCTCAGCTGCGTACTGATCGAACGTCGTCTGTGTCTTGGTGTACTCGTCCAGCATTTCGGACAGGAATGTAAGGTCCTCCAAGAGATCGGGGTCGGTCAGATGGCGGCCGGCGAGGTTCGTGAGGAGGGCGGGGAGGCGGACAAAGACTGCGACCGGGAGTAGGGTGGTGCGGTTACTAGACAGGAGGTTGTTGAGGGTCGCAAGGAGGAGTCGCGTGGTCTTCTCCTTCGGAGAAAGGCGTAGGAGGTGTGTGTACAGCTGGACAAACTCGTAGTCCCTATAACCATTGTCAGCCTCATTCCATCTTAAACCCATTAGGAGTCAGGTCACATACGCTTGCAGATCATCACCAATCAACTCTCCTTCAAAACTGAGCTGCCAGAGGACAAGCAAGACCCGGTACAACAGCTGGAGACCAACACCACCGGCAAGACCAGGCTCGATCGCGCGCGAGCTGCCAGCCAAGGTGCTGGAGCTGCTATCTTTAGCACCCGTAGCTGCACGCAGGATCTCAATCAACGGCTCAACGGTCTGCTGCCTCTGCTTCCAGAAGATCTCGCGAGACCTCGAGGTTCGTAGCAATGCGGACAGCTCCTGAACCCCGATATCCTGCAGCCCGCTGTCTTGGTTCTGGGTCAGGGTAGAGAGATAGGTGTACAACTGCGGAAGCGCTTCGTCATCCCGCGCAGCTGGCTTAGATGACGTGCCCAGGCTGACGGAGACAAGGTTGGTCAAGAAGGTGGAGGTGAGCAGAGGGATCGGGTCTTCGGGGTTGGTGGAGTGACGCAAGAGGGGAAGGAATGGCTTGTAAGGGTCGGGATGCGCGACCAGGGCGGTCGAGAGGGAGGGGACATCTAGAGAACCAGGATGATCAGTATTCAGTTTTATCATCACTATCGCAATCTGAACAGGAAGAAGGTGCCCGTACCGTTGATCAAATCCGCGGCCAGCACGAGAATGTATTGCACAATATCGGTTCTCCTGGAAGCGGAGTCCAGCACGCTCTTCCCTTCAGAGCCACCAGAGAGTAGACCAACATAACCAGCCAGATCCCCCTCGACAGTCTGACGCCGCTGCTCCTTGCGAACCTTGTCCACCGCCTTGATCTTCTTCAGGTGGTCATCGGTGATGTTTCCCGCTCGGACAGCTCCCTCCCATGGGATGGGACGAGCTCGGATGTTGTTCTGTAGCGAACTGAGGTAGGTGGGTGGCTCCAGGGGTAGCGACGACATGGTGATTCCGGAGGAGGGGGGGAAATTCAGGAGCCAACCGGAACGGAGAAAACTGGATTGAGGGGAGAGAGGGACGGGGGGGTTGCGGAGGTGGTGAAAGAGGAGGAGGTTGGGGAACGGCCAGGGAGGAGCCGATGATGATACGAATCACGTTCGCCGTCACTCTGTCTAGTGTCTCTCCATCCCCGGCCGCCAAGCCGGTTGCGCTTCATCGCTTCTTCGGAGTCCACGCAAGCTGCAACGTATCGACTGAACGGCCCCTCCTCCTCTCCGACTCCGATCGGACAACTCACTCTCTTTGGATCTCATTGCTCTTCCACTTCCTCGGAATTCGTGCTTCTCTAAGCTAGTCTCTCGTTTGTGGTTTCTTCCCGCGTCCGATTTAGTACTACGGCCTCGTCTTCCTCTAAGTGACGACAAGCCGGCATCAGATCGCATCATCGTCTAAATTCCTCGCTTTCCATGATTGAATTGGCGCATTCTTGCTGCTAGGTATCCTAGTTTGCAGGAGCAACAATATTCACAGCCGTCACGATGTCGCAGGGTTCCCAAGGCTCCAAGCCGAAATGGAAAGTGGGCTCTTTCCTGCAGCAAGCCGTTGCCGGCGTTGAGTCCAGGCTGGACTTGATCCTGGCTGAAGAGGAGGACCAGAAACAGCTACAGGCTAAGAATGCGACCGCAAAGCCCAAACCGAATGAGCAGACAAGCAGTATGGAGACACTTGATCGATTTGGGTGGTTGTACTATGTAAGATTGCTAACAGTTACCAGGTATATCACGCAGTTCGTCGAATGCGCGAAAGAATGATCGCCTTCAAGAACGCCTGGCTCGTGCCGTGGTGAAGTCGAATACTGCTGGCAATACCTCCTCGCAGCCTTCCAGCCATGCCCCCTCCCCCGTCAGCAGTCCGGTTCCCAGCAACGGTGGACGCTCGAGCATGGATATTGATGCTAGTCTTGATTCCCAGAATGGAAGTACAGGGAGACATTCTCGAAATTCCAGTCGGCAGGAAGTAATTGCAGCCACAGAGGCTCCTCGGATGAGCCAGGACTCAGCCGTCTCGTCACGCCGCTCTCAGGACCTCGTTTCGCAGACCGGAACTTCTAATGTTGAGGAGGCTGCTTCAGCAGACACCTCTAATGCGACACATGACACCACACAAAAAGACAGCGCATCATCTCCCGAGCCTACGATTTCCCTGCCAATGACGGATACTCCTACGGACAGCCCCAGAACTTCCAGCGACCAAGACAAGTCTATTGCGCAGTTACAGGCGGACCACAAAGCCGCAGAGTCTCAGTGGCAGGAGGAAATGTACGGATATATCGAACGGATCGATGCGCTGCAGTCCAAGTTAAAGTATTTGGCCAAGGAAGCCGCGGAATCTGCCAAGAAGGCAGCGGCTACAGCAGAGCCAGGGAGCGTCGAAAAGCAACTTCGAGAAAAGGACGAAAAGATCGCACTGTTGCTCGAGGAAGGACAAAAGCTATCCAAGTCGGAAATGGACCACAGAACCGCGATCAAGAAACTGAGGCAGCAATTGGCAGAGAATGCAAAGGCGCAGACTGAGTCAAAGAAGAAGACTGAAAAACTGGAACGGGATCTTGCCAATGCAGAAATCAGAGCCAAACGGGCTGAGGCGGCCGAGAAGAGAGCAAATGACTCGCTCTCTGCGCAAACGAAGGTGTCTCGGGACCTGGAAGCCGCGACGGCAGAGCGTAACGCACTCAGCCAGACTGTACAGGAATTGAAAGGACAGCTCGCTCGAGCTGTGTCCAGAGCGGAAGCTGCAGAGGCCAAGGCTCAATCCGAGGCACTCGAGCAGGAGAAGCGTCGCGCTACCCAGTTGGAGGAGGATCTAGCAAGCGCCAAGATCGAACGTGAAATCAGTGAAGAGAAGCTGAATAGAGAGATCAGCGATTTGAAGGGAACCATTGAGCAGGAAAAGGAGCGAGCGCGTATGTTGGAGATCGAGCTGAAGGGGGAGCAGTCGGCGCTGGAAAGTAAGATGGAGTCCTTGCGGTCTCGGGCAGAAGAGGCATCTTCCGGTGTTACTGGCGATGCGCAAGCCAAACTCTTGCGTCAGATCGAAACCCTCCAAACACAGTATGCCGTCGCCAGTGAGAATTGGCAGACCTTGGAAGGCTCACTACTGGCACGGTTGGCGAACGTCGAGAAGGAGCGGGATGAGGTTGCGCGACGGGAGGGCGAGATGCGGCGGAAGATCCGCGAAGTGGTAAGACGCCATAAATTTCTGATGCAATGGCACCAGATAGACTAACTGTGCACAGAACCTCAAAGCGAAAAGACTTGAAGAAGACCTGGAGAATGCCAAGGAGGCCGAGCATGACCTCGAAGGAAAGCTCGAAGAGCGCATGCAAGAACTACAGAAGGCAGAGCAGAAGCTGAAGAAGTCGGCGGATGACTTGGCCCTGGCCCAGAAGGATCTTGTTGAACAAAAGAAGGTGCTCGATGCTACATGGTCGCAGAAACTAGAGGAAGAGCGTACCAAATGGCGCGAGCAGACCATTTCGCCGCCCGCCTTGCTCCAGCAGCCACGGACGCAGTCCCCCGTTGCCTACAGCCGGAGACCAAGTGCTTTGGAGCCTGTCTCACTAGACTTCCGGCCCACGAGCCGTCGGTCCTCGACATTACCAACTTCGCCAGAAGTTGGCACACCCACTCGCCAGAACTCTTTCCCTAACTCGACCCTGATGCTCTCTCCACCTCAAACCAACGGTTCCTCTCACCACGCTGTTCCAGAAACCCCGTCAATTACTTTCGAGCCCGACGAGTACTTCAGCCGCTCCGGGACCCCCTCGGCCTATGGCGGAGCAGCGACACAGCATTCGCGCGGTATCAACGACATTATCTCCGAGTCCACTGTAGGAGCGGGACCGTCCGTACAGCTTGTTGAGCGCATGAGCGCCACGGTCCGTCGCCTCGAGAGTGAACGCGCAGCATCGAAAGACGAACTCGCTCGAATCACCACACAACGTGATGAAGCGCGCCAGCAAATCGTCGACTTGATGCGCGAGGCGGAGGAGAAGCGATCCTCCGACGCTCGCGTGCAAGATCTTGAGAAGCGGCTCGAGGATCTTGACCAGAGATACCAGACGACGCTCGAGATGCTCGGCGAGAAGAGCGAACAGGTGGAAGAGCTTCAGGCCGATATTGCAGATCTCAAAAAGATCTATCGGGAGTTGGTTGACAGCACCATGAAATAAGAGGTGCTTGTGCGTAGTAGACTTGTTATTGCTGCCCTGTACATAGATTTGTTCGTTCGGGCTAGACTCCGATTTAGACGATGTGATGTGAGACATGCCTTGAAAGAGAAGATGTCATGAATCCGTTAATTACTAAGACAAAAAAATAATATGGAAACAGTCATTCGATGAGCCTGAGAGTATCAAAGATAGACTCCGGGTATTAATCCTTCTTATATCTTCCAACCATCTGTCCTTCCCTATCCAACATATGGATAAACTATAATTCAATCCCCTCCCTCTCCGCCGTTTGCAGGATATAGCTCCGTACCTATAGACACACCACTATCAGGACACACTCCAACCTCAAGAGGACCACAAAGTAAAAGTGAAAAGACTAACCTTGCTATCCGGAGCCATATCAATGGCCAAAACGCCATTCGAATCCCTCTTATCCGCCTCGGCCCCAGCCTTGAGCAACGTAATCGCCGCATCGCCGTGGCCCTCTGACACCGCGTGATGTAAAGCCGTCAGCCCATCTATATCCGTTGCATTCACGGGGCTTTTTCCATCTTCCAGGAGAATCTTGATGATGGGCGACGACCCAATCGCCGCTGCCCGGTGCAGAGGTAGTTGTCCGCGCCTATCCTTTACTCTTGCGCTGCACTTGTTGGCGATGAGGGTGCGGACGGTGGAGAGATTGGCTTTGGAGGTGGCGAAGTGGAGGGCGTTCTATCGTAGGTACAGATATCATGTTAGGGAGAAGGTGGCTTAGGAGAACGGAAGGGTATGTACCTGGCCCGAGACGCTCTTCGTGCTTACGTCGGCGCCTTTCTTGAGCAGGAGGTCGATGATCGGATCGCCTTCAGCGTTCTTCAAGCTGGATGCAATCATGAGAGGTGTCCAGCCGGAGCCATCCTGTGGGTATGTTAGTGAGGGCTCTGACGTGGTATGTTCTTAGACGTTGATATAATGCGGACCTCGACATCGGGATCAAAGTGCTTGCTGGATATCAGTAGCTCCACGATCGGAAGGCGGTTGTATGCTACCGCCCAGTGGATGGGGAGACGATCATCGTCATCTTTGACGTTTGCTAGCTTGGGGTTGGCCTAGATTCCATCAGCGGGGGATGTTTCGAGCTAATAATGAGGTTGTATAGAGCTCTCTCATGGCGGTGCGGGGCAGCTTCGGAGTAGCACGTACACTGAGGAGAGATTCGGCGATTTGAGCTGTAGTAGATCTGTCAGAGCTTATCACAATGATCGGGTTGGGTGCCTCGTACTTTTACCCTCCCGGGCAGCCTCGTGAAGAGGGAACTTAGCTTCCTGACCGGTATTCATGATGGATGTGGCAGAATTACATGGGATCGAATAGCATCAACTAATCAATCGGCGGGGTTGGCATCTGGGCCTCGACACCTGAAGGTAACTATGATGCCTCAGGCATAAACTAGCTCGCCGCCCGCCGAAAATCAAGTCGAGCTTCGCTGCCGCTGATTCCAACTTCGCCTTCACTTTCAATCATCCCCAATTCCACGCCTGCGCCGCGCTTTCTCCTGTCATCCCGGTGCTTAGTACACTCCGCATGAGGCGCACCTCTGATTTCGACTAAAAGCCCAATACACCCCGCCCCGGGGCTCAGGACGCGCCAACGACACGTCTCCGCAGCAAGCAGCTCAAACCTCCATACCGAGCGTCGGAATACCCTCCAATCCACCACAATGGACGTCGTTCCCTCCACCACCCCAGACGAGGCAGTGCGCCTCTCCGCCAAGCGGACGGCCGAGCTCTTCGGCTCCGACTACCTAATGGTCACCCCTTCCGTCGCCAATGGCTCCATCGCCACGTCCTACCGGCGCAAAGCAGAATACGAAGATGTGAAGGAACTCCCCCCAGCGCTGGCCGAAAAGCAAGCCAAAGCCGTGGCCGCTGGACGCGCCAAACGTCCCAAGATCCAACCACAGTCCCAAGCCGCCGTGGACGGCAGCGGCGCGTCCATGGCCCTCGTCAAGAAGGCCCCCGGCCCAGCAGCCGGCGGCGTCGGCGGTGAAAACGCTCCCAAGAGTCTCATCCAACGTCCCTCGGCGACGAAACAGCAACGACCCGACTGGCACGCGCCATGGAAGCTCATGCGGGTCATCTCCGGCCACTTGGGTTGGGTGCGCAGTTTGGCCGTCGAGCCCAACAACGAATGGTTTGCTAGTGGTGCCGGCGACCGAACCATCAAGATCTGGAACCTGGCTACAGGTGCCCTCCGTCTCACTCTCACGGGTCACATTTCCACCGTCCGCGGCCTGGCCGTATCCCCCCGACATCCCTACCTCTTCTCCTGCGGTGAAGACAAAATGGTCAAGTGCTGGGATCTCGAAACCAACAAAGTCATCCGCCACTACCACGGCCATCTCAGCGGCGTCTACACCCTCGACCTGCACCCCCGTCTGGACCTCCTCGTCACAGGTGGTCGCGACGGCGTAGCCCGCGTCTGGGACATGCGCACCCGCGCCAACGTCCACGTCCTCGCCGGCCACAAGGGCACCGTCGCCGACGTCAAGTGCCAGGAAGCCGACCCGCAGATCATCTCGGGCTCCCTCGACGCCACCGTCCGCCTGTGGGATCTCGCAGCCGGTAAATCCATGGGCGTGCTCACGCACCACAAGAAGGGCGTGCGCGCTCTGGCCACCCACCCCCGCGAATTCACCTTCGCCTCCGCTAGCACCGGCTCCATCAAGCAATGGAAGTGCCCGGAGGGCGACTTCATGCAGAACTTCGATGGTCAAAACGCCATCATTAACACCCTTTCCGTCAACGAAGACAACGTCATGTTCTCCGGCGGTGATAACGGCTCCATGTGCTTCTGGGATTGGAAGACTGGGTACCAGTTCCAGAGCATCGATGCTGTTGCTCAGCCGGGTTCGCTGGAAGCCGAGGCGGGTATTATGGCTTCGACGTTTGATCGTACTGGTCTGCGTCTTATTACTGGTGAGGCTGATAAGACTATCAAGATCTGGAAGCCGGATGATGAGGCCACGGAGGAATCTCACCCTGTTACTTGGGCCCCGACTCTGGGGAGACAGAGGTATTAGTTTGTTAGTGTGGCTTGTGGTGTGCTTCTGCTCATTATCATCAATACCCCGATGTCTTTTTTTTTTTTTTCAGTTTGTTTATCTTGGTGTGTGGGGGGAGCTACTTTAAGGGGGGATTAGTTTTCTAGCTTTGATGTTATGTCATGCTGTGTATGCACTTAGGAGTTTAGCGTTAATTATTTGGGATGTCAGCTTGGTTCCCTGGGAAGGGCTCATAAGAGGAATGTATCATATAATTGCTTAGATTGGAAGTGTCTGTTCTAATAGTTGTAAGTTGTAGAAGTTAGATGGTGTCTTAGTATAGTTTCATTTCGTATTTGTATTGTTTCATTAATTAATAAAACATATGGGTATCATTGTTCTTATACAGTATCTATCATCTAAATTGTCCCGAATATAGTGAGTGGTAAATCACTGATCCAAGCCCAACCCAAGCCCCTTGGCTTCGTCATCCTCGCGGAAAGCGATTTTGACATCCTCTGCAGCGATACGTAGTCGTACCTTTCCGCTGCGATCGCCGCGATGCGGTATAGCAGCGCTACCTAGCGGTCCCTTGGCACCGGCTCCGTACTCCAGGGCAAGAACCCCCGAGTTGGTCAGTTCCATCGCAGCGTAACCCAAAGCTTGTACGCGAGCGCCGGTCCCTCCGGCTAATAGGAACTCTTTGATGCCGGCGCCTGCTGCTCCGGCCACGACCACGGCCGCGTCGGCGATTCGTTTGGCTTCGTCGATAACGTCGCCGAATGCTGATTCGGAGATACCGGTGCGTCGGACGCGGGCTAGCATGGCGGCGAGGAAGAGCTTAGCGGCGAGGGGGAGACAGCGCAGGGACTGTTGGAGAGGGGTTGATGTGGCTTCGTGGATGGCCTGTTTGATTGTGGCGATGGTGACACGGCCGACTGTTTGTGGTTTGGCAGGGGGTTTCTTTTGAGGGGAGGACTGGGCGGATTGTTTGAGAGATCTTTCTCTGCGGGCTGGGGTCTTGCTGGGTGTTGGGGGTAGGGATTCGGTGTCGTCTGCGTCGGGTTTGTCTGTGTCTGGGTCCTGGGCTGCTGCTTCGCTAGCCTGTTCGGCAATTTCGACGGCGCGTCGACAGATGTCCAAGGCACGTCGGGCGTCACCACTAACGGCGGCGACCTTGCGACTGGCGAATTGAATGGCATCTGCGTCAACGATGTTTCCTGGTACGTTGGCTAAGCGGGTGCTGATGATTTCCATCAGATCTGTGTGCTTGTATCCTGGAAAGGTAATACGGGTGAGACCTAGACGACTGGAAATCTTGTTGCTGAGTGTACGTTCCGGAAGATCCATGGTGTTTGCGACAGCCAAGACAATAAGACGAGAGTGACGAAGTGCAGGCCAGTTGAAGAAGTTGTACATCACGGACTGATTTTTTGTGACAAGCTGATCGAGCTCGTCCATAAGAACGACGCAAGACACTCGTCGTGGGGATGGATGTGAGAACTCCCGCTCAAGAAGGTCGAGGGCATGTGAAGGCGATACTCTGTCACCCTTGAGCGCTTCCCAGAGCATTGAGTAAGATTGGTGGGGATCGGTGACCTTCATGCCGTTGATCTCAACGAAGATGAAATCGTCCATCTCTTCTGCCAACACGGCCGAATTCAACTGCGCAACGACTTCGCGAACCGTTGCTGTCTTTCCAGTACCCGGCGTCCCTGAAATGTAGATACAGGCTCCTGTCCCTTCCATGATCGCGGCACTGAGATGACTATAGACTGTTTCGAATTCTGTCTTTCGGCATGGGAGCGATGTAGGCACAGTGGAAACGTGCAGCAACGTGCGCGCCTGGCGGTACGGGGAGGCGAAATGAGTGGGTGAAAGAATACGAGTACCAAGAGGTGTGAACTCGAGGGGCTTTTTGACGACGATTCTGTGGGATATGTTAATCAATGTTTGCTTGGAAAGGCTTGTCTGCCTACCTCTTATGAGCTGGGGTGGTAAAGGTCTTTTGACGCCGCGACTGGGGAGTAGCGTTTGTAGCCACTTTCTGTCTCTTCCTAGGTGTGGTGGGAACGAATTCATCCTCTTCCTTGGTGATATCCTTCTTCTCGTCATACTTCAATAGACGTTAGCATCGTGAATCCACCACGATCAGGAACTCACTCACATCCTCGTCGACTTGCTTGCGCTTTTTGGCTGCTTTCAACCCATCCTTGATCAAGTTAATGAGATCGAAAACCCTATCCTCACGGTACACATCCTCCCAGACAAACTCTTCCGTATAACGTCCTTGCAGCTGGTTCACTCCTCTCCGAACAACAATGCACTTGTTGAACTCCGCGAGTTCTTCTTTTCCCTTCGGAGGAACACCGTCTGGGTACTTGGCGTAGAATGCATCCTTGGACATCACCGTAGCTTTGCCATTGATCGACGTAAGAGGATTGACGTTGAAATCGGCAGTCAGGTATTGCTCGTTGGGCAAAGCGTCGGTTCGTCGCTTGTTCCGGGTTGACATGAATTCATCCGGGGAAGCAAACCACATGATGTTTGCCGATTTGATGACCTCGTCCTCAGCATCTGGGTCCTCCTGTTCCAGGAATTCCGTTATAATGCCAATCCAATCTTTGCCTGGTTCTGGGGATTTCAAAAGCACCACCTGGCCCAAGGCGCATTCGAACGAGCCCATCCGAGCTCCGACAATAGTCCGGCGGCGTTTGGCATTGGGGCGAGGGGTGCGTCTCCGGCTCGATTTTGGGGTATCCTCTGCAGTCGCCTGTTCGCTATGATTGTTGTTCTCATCGTTGTGGTCATAGATCCATTCCCAGGGGTGGTCTTCTTCGCCGAGTTCGTCGTCGGAGTCGTCACGGACAAGACCTCCCTTGGTCATCCATAGCTGAGCACGCTTGCGGACACTAGACTTGCGGGACCGCGACTTGTCTGCCTCATCGGCAGAGTCAGAAGCCATTGTCCTGCAGAGACCAGTGAAGAAGGATGGAAGGGGCAGCGATGGCCGTACAAAAGTGATTGGAGCGATTGATGGGATGATGGATGATAATCGATTGATTAGTTTGTTGGACCGGCGACGGAAAAGACAGAAAAGGGAAAGGCGCGCCGGCTGCGCGTTGTCCACTTTGGGCAACGCGCAGCCGCTTCTGGCCAATGACAGCAGGTATTGCCTCCCGTATACTTCGAATGTGCCCGTATAGCAAACGCCATACAAACCATCACTCCAGTACTACTTTATCTACTAACTACTACTAAGTACTCCTAGTAATGTCTGGTTTTACAACAGAAGCTTTCAAGTTTGTAATACAATATGGTTGCAATCCATGACTAATGCCCATAATTTAGTACTTTTTGCTTCATTTTGTTTGCTACTTCTTCATTAAGAACTGAACCATATTTAAAAGCCCCAGCTTCTCTTTCCACTCTTTCACACTTGACTCCTGCTGCTGTTAATCATTTCACACAGCTTCACAGGTCTCGTACGTGGCTCTTGCCGTAGAGAATGAAGCAATATTACCTAAACTGCCTTCACTTGACCTGCTCCTTCCCAGTAAGAAGCTGCTCCAGGAATTTGATCCTCGTGGTTTGCTTGTAGATTTGTCTCTAATGCAAAACGGATTCTTGGGAGGATTCACCGGGTTCTTCCTGCCAGCCAGTAAGTGTTTCTCGGTAAACTTAACCATCCCACCGTTTTCACTCCAGTCTCTCTTTCGCTTTCACCGTCCTCGCACTGTCCCTTCACCATCAACTCTACCGTCACTACCACTCCCTCTCATAAATCCCGTCATTTCCCCATTCTCTCGATCAACTTTTCCGAATCCTCACCAGCGCTGTGTTAACTGCAGTTTAGATCCTTCTGTGATCTTCAAGTCTAGCGTTGATAAATAAGTTCACGCGGTTCACAATGGCTGCAAACAAGACACGCGTCGAGTAAGTCCCAGAATCTATTGTGACAGACACTGGCTAACTGCAAATAGCTTCGAGTCCTCAGGAGCCCAGGGTAGATACTGTCTTTGTCCTTGTTGGTTACTTATTCCTTAGTTGCGTATAACTGACCTCTGTGTGTCCCAGAATGGACGCTTCCGGGCTACGGAAAGCAAGGTTACTATCTATCCCAAGCAACAGTAAAGACCGGAACTAATCAATCTATACCAGACGCTCCCAAACCCACTCCGGATGAGTTTCCCAAGCAGCCCCCAGCTGCACCTGCCAATAAAGGCACTCTCAGCACGCCGGTGCGCCCCGCAGTTGTCCCACGACCAGCACGAGGCCGTGGAGGGTATCGCGGACGGATTGGACGCTCAAACGGGGTATCTCCTAAGGCAAACCTTTTTGGAGACTCACCTGCGAAATCTAAGTGGAGAGGCAAGCTGGAGCCTACGGGTAAGATCAGATGCTGCGATGTGATTCAAAGGTCGCTCATAAAACTACAGGCCTCGTCAAATTACCCGCGCCTTTCGGTACCTTCAAAAATGAGTATACATATGCCTTTTACATTATTATTTCAAAAGGTACTAAAGCTGGGACAGATTTTTTGGCATTGCAAGATTGACTGGCTCGATCAGGAAGCCACCGGGGGCGCATGGCCGCTATGAGGTCTTTGAAGAGATTAGCCGACGTACAGGTGCCTTCATAAAGCCTCCCTTCTATAACGACAATGTAAGCTCCTTTGCCTCCACCAAGGCGCACACTAACGGAGATAGACCATCTACCTATGGGGCGAGCCGTTTCAGGTTGCAGCTGCAAAAGATATCATTCTCACTATCGTTGCGAAGTGCAGCAACGCGGGAAAGAAGAAGGTGGGATGGGAGAAGATCATGGCACATTCAGTCAGCAAAGAAGCTCGTGTGGAGTTGAAGGAGAGATACAATGCCAGGCTCCAGATACTGCAAAAGCAACCCGATCCCTCTTCCGAGTTTTCGGACCTTGTGAGTAAAATAGGCTCACCCGTTTACATACCTCTTCGACCGCCTGACTGACACTCCCTTGTAGATGCTCTTCTTATGGCCCAAGGAAGGACCTTCTATTACGGACTCCCTGGGTCCGCAGCTCGAGGCCCTCGATCACATACGGGTCAAGTTCAATTGTCATGTCTTTGTTCCAAAAGATCTCCCCAATCATATCTGTGCTATGGGGCACAACGATGAAGCCATGAGACAGATCGTCCGACGCCTCAGAACAAAGTGGACTGAGGTTGTTGCCAACTATGTTGTGAAAGGCAAACTCTACCTCGTCGAACCTCCGACTGCCATGAAAAGTAAGATTGTCGTGAAGAAGGACGCCCGCCTAGCGAAGCCATTACTCCGTGGGACCCCACTCCAGGGCTCAGAGGCGCAACAGTGGCCCGATCGAGCGAGTCTGATCCAATCAAAGAATAATGCCCGGCTTCTGAGCATGGTCGAGAGATGTCTGAAGGGCGTGGTCGTTGTTCGTGGGCACTTGCGTATGCGGGTCAATCTCGGCTCGTTTGTACTCGACCAGTACCGCATTCCGGCGGACGACAAACCATACTATGTTCTGGAAGAGTTCAGAGAGATGATACTGCACGAGCAGACTAAGGGACGCTTGATACCAGGGTAAGCTCCCCTCCGTTGTGTTTGTGGCGATGTCACTGATCATTCGTCATCCCTACAGCCTCAAGGTCCATAAAGACGAACTTCTTGCCAGATGTTACCGGGCTACCCATCTGCTTCAGCCATATCTCAGCACGGCACAATCGCTGAGCAGCGCCGAGCCTGCATTTTCAGTGAATTTCGAATTCCTAGGCCAAAGCAACTCCATGCTTCGACTGGAGGCAGAGTTCGCCAGGAGCCCCGGTGCATCAGAATACGAGACCACCCAGCGAAGGTGGCTTAAACCCCGTCAGGACGGCCAATCTAGCGACAAACGCCCACCCCTACAGGTAGCCGTCGTTGACTTCGAAAAGTCTGACTGGCAGCTCGAGTTGAAGTCTCTGGAATTCTACCAGGCCAGTTCGATTGACGCTGCATTGAGAGATTTTGCAGGTGCCATCAAGTTCAGAAGTACCGCTACGATGCACGATATCTCGGCCAAGCCTGAGAGAAAGGTCGAATTCTCCCAATCCGCGCCGGTGGCTAGATTTATCGAGAAGTCCGCCATTCGGTACAAAATCAAAGGCACCAACTATACCCTAGAGATTGCTCGCTACGATGAGTATAGCCGTGCAAATGCGTCAGCGTTGTCCAACAAGCTGCCGGCCAGTTATGCGGGTCCTTTCACCACGGAGCCTAACACTTCCTGGGGCGCATCATTGTTCGACCCTCACTGGGACAATCTCTTGGGTGAACATGCCAATTTGGCTATTGGGCATGCTGCTCAGTATGACTCAAGTCTGGAGAGCTTTTTCCCGGCAAGAGGGGCAGGGGACAATTCGGAGAAAAGCCAAGGTTTCTGGGCGTTTGTCGACACGGTGAAGCAGGTTGCGGGACTAATGGGTCCTGTACGGACCACCGCAACCTCTTCTGAAGAGAAGTCTCGGCTTGGGGCCAATTCTGCCATGAGCGTCAAGCCCACGACGGTTCAGGGCCGATCGAGCGACTCGTCGCCGGTCATGGGCATGACCGATCTGGCTGGACTGCTCAATGCAGACCTCGGAACCTTGTTCTAGTCTCATTGAGGCGACAAGGTCCGAGGTGGCGTCAGACCGAGACTTCCTTGGCGTGTCGACAACACGCAGGACTACGGCGGCGTGGGGGGAGATAAGGGCAGATGGAGGCGGAGGGGTTCGTTAATATGGTATTGTGTTGTGCATTGATATATCTTAGCTCCAAATTGCCAGTTTTTGATATTACCACCTCCAGAATGTCAGCCAAGTCTATGTCCTTCTGAATTGCAGGTGACAGTGGAGTTCCTTCAATGGAGCTGGCGTGCTCGTAGCGGACCTGTCTCTTGCAACCCGCGGCTTGGGTGACATCGGACAGGTCTGTTCCAATGCGTCCTTACTAGGGTGTAACAGTTCCAGTCGTAGTTCATTCCGACTATACCTCCATCCCAAGGCCACGCAATCTCCTATGCTATAAGTCCAGATCTACTCAACCGGCACCCGCAGACGCAGTAGCAGCAGATCCAGCACCCTCAGCCAGCAACTTCTGTCTCAAAGCTAGAAGCAATCATTAGTATAGCACGAACCAAACCCAAATGCACTCAATCGAAAGAAGAGAAAAACATGGCTTACCATCCTCAAACAACCTCTGCTGCTGACTCTTCGTCTGCACAATCTTCTCCAACTCGGTAAGATTCGTCTCCAGCTCCTTGACCTTATTTTCGTAGAACTCGATAGCTTTGGCAGCAGTCTACCACCACATTCATTAGCTTCACAACTCCTCCCAAACAACAACCACCTAGACACTTTAAACAAAACAAAGGGGTATCTGTATCTCACCTTCTCAACATAAAACCCCGTCCCAACATCAACAAGCACCTTCTCCCGATCCGCCAACTTCCCCTTCACATACAACGAACTCGTCAACGGCACCAGGATATCCTCCTTTCCATCGGTGCCCTTCTTCTGAGACCCAATTACACCTTCGTTGATGGAGCGCACGCAATCTTTGAATTTGAGTTGTGCGGCGCGCAGCTTCGCGTGCGAGGTCGTCAGGTGTTCGAGTTCGGAGGATAGGCGGGTTTGGAGCGCGCGGAGTTGGGGCACGGAGAGGGAGTTGATGTTTACTGGAGTGTGAGTTGTTAGGGGGGTGTGGGTGGTGGGTTTATTAGAGGGGGAGGAAGGATGTACCTGAGCCCGGAGGGGGGGAGTCGGATGATGCGGGGGTGTTGGGGGGTGGCATTTTGGGGCTTTTTTTTTGGTTTGGATCTGGGAGATGGTGGTTAGATAGTTGGGTTTGGGGGTGTGGTGTTGGGGTTTGAGGGGGGAAGGTTGTGGGTGGGTTTGTGCTGTACTTACTTACTGGGTTGTATGGTAGTGGTAGTGGTGGTGGTGATGCTGGCTTTGAGCTTTGAGGGTGGCCCGCGGTCTCAAGTCGAGTGTATGGTGGGGATGGAAGTGCATAGGGTGCATAAGTGGTGGGTTGTGCTGGGTGGGTTAGTCAGCGGGTGGTTGGTGCAGCCCTATATTTGTTGGTTAACTGTTGGAGTGTAAAGGAGGGTTATGTGGTTGCTTTATTGCAGTATTATATTATTTGTTTTATGATGGAGGTGCTATAGAGATATTATAGTGTATGAGCTTTACATTGTTGAGTTGTGTATGCTGTTGGTCGGGCTTAGAGACTTTATCCTATGTGATACTGATGGTATAGAATGTTTACTAGGTAGCTCTACAAATGGCAGTCGCAAATTGTTCTGCACCAAGCAACGAGTGTATTTATATTTTGTGCGTATATCTCTTCTCTATATCCAACAGTTTGTATAGATAATCAGGGCCATAGGCAGCACAGTATATCTAGTAATCAGCAACACAACCGACGGTCATCCCACCGTTAGACAAAAGCTTCGTGAAGATAAGTATAAATAGTACATCACGAACGACAGCTTGACTCTGCAATTTCAGTGCGAAGTCAAATCATCACGGGTCATAAGATAAGGCTATGATTTGCAAGTCATTTCGCATTACCACGAGGTCGTCTAGAATTACAAGAGAGTCAGTTAAAAGCTTGGGATATGTATGAGGCGATCAAAGACTCGTGAAATTGAATGTACTCACCAGCATCTTCGATTGGATACTTCTCCAGATAGTAATTCAGCTGACGCTCAACAACTCCAAACCGTCGGACTTTCTCAAGAGTCAACTTTCTCACACCGAACTTGTCGTAAACCACTAAGCTGTACACGGCTCCATGGGCGTCACGGAAAAGTTGTGAGATCTTATATGTGAGACAATTCTCGGCGAGGCTCGCTTCTGCCTTTGAAGTAAGTGTACATTCGAAGACGGGTGATGCAGGACGGCTGCCTTCGGGTGAGGTCAGTTCGATTCCCATGTTGAAGGGTTGTGTGTTGCTGTTCGTTTTCGAAAGTGGGCTTGTTTTGTACATTTGGTTGGGAAGTTGGGTATGGGTTTTATAATTCCAGCAGGGGAGTATCGTGATAGTCGTAAAGAGGTGGGTAGAAATGCCCTGTATAATACTTACAGGTATATCCCAGACTGTTTCACCTCTTGGTTTGTGTTCGGATTTGGTAATGAGTCTATTTTCGTAGATCCAGGTAGGTCATATAGATGATACGGAATCTGCCCAGGCTTATGGGATATATCTTCAACAAAATGGCGAGAGCCATTAGGCCGATGACGTCCGAGTTGTATGAACTTAAATATATAACTTTATTTCAGAGACAAGAAAAGAAGAGGGGGCTTTCTGGTCTTTATAAAGAGGACATGTGAGGTACCCTGCTTGTTAGGGAAAATGCCATTGAGTAATGGGGTTTGATGCTGATATCCGTTATTGCACTTACTCAATAACCTCATATCTCGAGATTCGAGATATGCAAGCCAAAGCGGCAGTTTTCGATGCTGCATAGTTCTACATTAAAGGCTTGAACTTATTCTTTCCTGTTCTCAACTTGTACAGGAAATTTCCAGTATTGTGAATATATCCTTGGTATGTCCAGCATTTCTGGTAAATGTGAGAAGACAAGCTGAAAAAAAGTATTGGACTGCATTGCCTCTTCGAAAGGAAGGAACGTTTTTCATTGTGGAGAAATCAAGGTTGATAACATGCCACTCATCAAGGACGGGTCATTCAAAGAAATGATGTTTGAGGCACTGTCACCACCATTGTCATGAGCATTAATATTCAGAGTATCGGAACATCCCTTTGAAACTACTACTCATCAAGCCCGCCAAATTACACTCGAACAAAGCACAATTTCTTTTATTCCTGTCGCAATAAACCGTGCACCAGCACATCACTAGACATCACCACTCCTCAACATCCAAAAAGAGGGAGACAGAAACCACACCCAATTCCCCTAATCTGCAATCCAATAATCCGCAACAGGATCAAAGCCACCCCTCTGCTCAAACAGATTCACCAGAGGAAGAAAGAGCTGTCGAGTGGGAGGATAAATAATCTCGGTACTTTCATCCACCTCCATCGAATCACTCTCAGGAATAATCTCTCCTTTTTCAGAAAAGACAGCCTCATCGTAGGCAGCTGCTGGTGTTAACTTCCGAGAGTTTCTCTCAACCCAAGGACGACCCTTTCCAGCATAATAATCCATTCGTAGCTGTTCCCAGGTTGTCCATTCCCATCCGCTGCATTTGTTGGGTTCCATGAGCTGGTGGTTGTTAGTATGTCTTTCTGTATGGGAGACAGAGAATATGGGAGAAAAAAATCCATAGAACCACAAGATATTTGTAATAATATCAAGCACGTATATATGACTTGAAATAATGAAAAAGGAAGAAAATGGCAGAGGAAGAAGCTAACCTCAGGCTGCGCATCAACATCACAAAGCTTACACCCCATTACCACAGTAATGTAGTGCTTTCCCTCGGCTTTCATGATATCGTTAGTGACAGTCAAGAAACGGATGTCTTGGACCTTGAGATTTGTCTCTTCGAGGATTTCGCGCTCTGTGCATGTCTCGAATGACTCGTTGAGTTCGAGATGTCCGCCTGGGAGGGCCCAGGTTCCTGAATGAGGAAGTATATCAGTATGTTGTAGAAATTTGTAGTAGCGGCCAATTTATATTGATTTAGACGATGATGTTCTCGTGGTAATCATTATAGTGATCAAGATGGTAGGTACATACCAGCACCGTGACTGCCTTTTCTCTGACCGATAATAAATTCGTTGTGACCGTTGAAGATGAAGACGGCGACACCGACGCGGGCATTTGTGTGGGTGGTCATTTTCTGATGGTTTGGTTCGGGTCGGAATGGCAAGCGTTTGAACATGTGGAATGAATGGGACCGGAATGAGTTTGTTTTAGTAGTGGTAATGTTCAGGTGATGAGAGATGAGCGTAGGCTGCAATACTGCAGCGAGATCGAGTCTACTTGTCTAATTTTTATACTGTGTGAATAGATTCACCAATATTGAAAGTGACTACTGCAAGGCGGGATTAACAGACTAGGCTGATGCAAAGTGGCGGGTGCTTAATTAACGGAATGGAGGGGTATATATTAACGGAATTTACCTAGTAGTAATTAAGAGTGATAGTGTACAGTGATTCTACCAATGTGATAGTGTGGCGCAGCTTGCATTGCCTGCCCGTAACACAGCCCGAGTGAGTGAAGTTCCCTACAGCTTTTCAAGCAAAGAACCCACAAACTCCGGCAGAGCCTCCAAGGCAACATCCTCACGTACTTCAAGTCGCCGACACTGCACTTCCAGGGTGCGCTGCTTTTTCCAGCCTTTGCCTACGACCACAATAACAGGGTACCCGATAAGATCTGCGTCGCCCAGCTTCCAGCCCATCTGCTTATCGCGGTCGTCCAGGATGACGTCCAAGGCAGTGGTGGTCTCTGAGGTGAGCGCGTCGTAGATTTTCTCGGCTTCCTCTTCCAATCCCTTAGCAGGGACGACGATGACTTCGTAGGGAGCGATCGCCCGGGGCCAGTTGAGTCCCTTGGAATCCGCCAGGTTGTCTGCTACCGCGCTGATCATGCGCGATACTCCGATACCGTGACAGCCCATTTGCATTGGGACCAACTGGTCTTTTTGAGACAATGAACGGTCGCCTGCGTCGAGGTGAGCGCGGTCAACCACCACAGAAGCCTGGAGGACATCGCTGTATCGCGTGCCAAGGTGGAACGTGTGACCAAGTTCGGTGGCTTTGTGGGTCTTTGTCAGACCTTGGCCGCATTTCGAGCACTGGTCGCCTTCGTGCACCCGTACAAGGTTGAGATAGTTGTTGGTTCCTGGGAAGCGATCGAGTTTTGAAAAGTCAATATCCTCTACCGCGCGGTTGATCCCGTCCAGTGTGTCCGTCAAGGGAGGGCGCTTGTATGCCCGTACGTATGAGTCATACACATCCAACACTCGGGGCCGCTGGCTGGAAGCCTCCTCTGACTGAATGTGAGTCGCCCATTGTTCCAGGGGGTTCTCAATACTGATATCGAGGTCTATGCCGGCTGCCTTGGCTATGGATTTGACGGCATGGGAGTTGACTTCCCTTTCAGCTGGCGGTTCACTAGGGTCCTTCAAGGTATACTGCGGATACCAGCAGCGCAGCAGTGTGTTTTTGTCGTGTGATATCGCCATCCACAGGCCAACAGAAACAGCTTTCGCTGATTCGCCGGAAACTTCGCCGGTGTCAAAGCCGGATGCGTGACCGACTTGGACCTGCTGGTCATCGATATTATGGGCCTTTCCGTCGGCAAGCTCCTCATTGTAGACACTATCGCAGCTGGAACAGCTGATAACCGTGTCCTCGCCCTTGTTGCTAGCAAAGTGGAACTCGTGACTTAAGCTACCGCCCATGTTTCCAGAATCCGCCGCAGCAACCAGATAGGGGATCTTGAGCTCATCAAAGAGCTCTGTGTAAGCCTTCTTAACAGCCGTGTACGTCTTAAGGGCATTCTCAGCGTTGTAGTCGAAAGTGTAGAGATCCTTCATGATGAATTCACGCCCACGAAGTAAGCCCTGTCTGGGTCGTTGTTCATCTCGGTATTTCCTTGCTAGGTTGATGTGAGCTGTTGTTCTCAGCTGTGGATGATATACTCACATATTTGGTACACCCGCACAGGCAGATCTCTATAAGATTTGGTAAGATGTCCTACCAGAGTGGTGATTTCTTCTTCATGAGTTGGGGCAAGAAGAAAGCGGGACTCTTTCCGATCCTGAAAGCGAAAGATCTGAGACAGATATTAGCAAAAATCGATGACTACACAGCGAAATCCATACCTCCGAGCCCTCTTTGAGACGTCCAGACTGCTCCCAAAGTTCCTGGGCGGATAGAGATGATAACGACACCTTAGATGCGCCTGCAGTGATCCACATGATAAGGAAGAACTCTATAACTGCGGGCCTATTGTATACATACCGACTGTTCGCATATGCTTGTCAATGAGACGCTCCAGCTTATCTTGCACACGCAGTCCCAGAGGTAGCATATGGAATATTCCCGAGTAAGCCTGGATTTGAGTTAGAACTATATCTATCAAATTGGGGATGACACTCACCTGTCGCAAAAAGCCACCTCGGATCAAGAGGTCATTGGCATCCTCTGAGCAACATTAGAAGCGGTCAACATTGAGATGGATGGCCATAATCAATACCTTTCTCACCCTGGACGGGCTTTTTGGTAATACCGCCCGTCGGGATCCAGAAATTAGACACACGACTGCGCCCATCTACCTAGAGAATAGTCAGTGGGACTGCTGGGTTTAAAGTGAATTAGGGCATCTACATGAAAGGCGCATTTTGATGTTCTATGGAATCGAGCAATGCCAAAGTATGCTCGACATGTTGCGGAATAACGGCCCGGAACCGGGCGAAACCCGGAAATCATGAGGCCGGACGATCAGGACAGCCCCTCAGTACTTGGCAGTAATGTTCATCCAAACCAATGGATGACACCATAACCAAGCCAGATCAATCGCAAGTAAATAGATCGCAAACATGCGAAACTCGACAACTTCGGATGGTCCGTGCGCCGACCCATCGGTCTCGGCCCGCCATTTCTCCGGCGGCCTGGCGGCTCTCCTCAATTTTTTGGCGGCAGAAAAAAAGTAGATGCAAATCCCCATCATCAAGTCTACATTTGGCCGTACAACTATCCGTCATGGCCAAAAGTAAGGGGAAGCGCTCCTCCGGAGCAAACGATATCATCCCCGACGGTGGTGTCGCAGTTAACGACTCCGCCTCCGGTCCTGATGCCCTTCCACAACTAGAGGAAAGTGCATTTGCCGGCTTGCGACAGAAGATCGAACAGCGACTGAAGGACCAGAGCGCCTCGAAGCAGAAGCCCAAGAACAACAAGGGAAAATCGGGTCCCAGTGATACGCCACAGAAGAAAGAACCTGCACCCAAGCCCCAGCCGAAGCAAGCGTTCAACAACGACAAGAACAACAAAGGCAAGAAGCGGGACCGCAATGGTGAGGTGATCGCGAGGGAGGACAAGGTTGTTTCGAAGGATAAGAAGCCGGCATCGAAGGAGAACCAGGACGATGTTTTGCGGCAGGAGATTTTGGCCCTCGGAGGCACTGAGGAAGACTTGGATCTCATCGCCGGGGTTGGCTCGGACTCTGAAGTTGAAGATGCTACAGAGAAGAAGTCCAAGGGCAAGTCCGACGACGCTTCGCTCCGGAAGGAACTGTCGAGTATTCTGGCAGCGGCCGGTCAGGTTGTCCCTGACGACCTAGAGGACGACGAGGTGGAGGAAGAGGAAGCCGAGGAGGAGGAAGCAAGCGAGGAGGATGATGGCGAAGAGGATGACGAGGAAGAAGTCAAGGATGACGAGGAGGAACCGTCAGAGGATGAGGAGCCAGCTCCTGCTCCCGCCGCGAAGGAGAGCAAAGAACCCGCCAAGAAAGAGAAAGCCAACAAGGAACCTACCGCCGAAGTTGTCTTCCCCAAGGAGTTCGCCAAACTCGTGAGTATAACCAGCCCAATCCACATATATCCTTCTAATGTAGCCATTAGTCTGTTCGACCCAGATCCGATTGGTACATGACGGAACTGCCCTCTATACCGACAGCACAAGCGAAGTCTCTGCCTCGCCATGTGGTGGATCGGTTCTACGATTACGCCGTCTCCCTCCTCGAGAAGGAAAACAAGATGTACGCGGAAGCGCAGCAAGCATCTGCCTCTTCATCCCACAAGTTCTACAGCACGATCATGTCTACTGGTACGCTTAGTGATAAGACCTCTGCCTTGACTCTTGCTGTACAGGAATCGCCTCTTCACAACACAAAGGCAATGGAAAACCTCATTGCCCTTGGAAAGAAGCGCAGTCGTGCTCAGGCCGTGGAAGTCCTGAGATCGCTCAAGGATATGTTCGCTCAGGGAACACTACTTCCTAGCGACAGGAGACTCCGGGCTTTTGCCAACCAGCCGTCTCTTATTGCTGCGTTGCAAGGCGCAGGCAGCAAGTGGTCCGAAGGAGACCCTCTCCCTGGAGGGCTTCAGAAGAGCCACTTGATTGTCTGGGCGTACGAGCACTTCTTGAAGGATCAGTTCTTTGAAGTCCTTAAGATCCTTGAAGTCTGGTGTAATGACGAGATTGAGTTCTCTCGCTCCAGAGCTGTCAGTTACGTTTATGAATTGCTCAAGGAGAAGCCGGAGCAGGAAACGAACCTTTTGCGACTGTTGGTCAACAAATTGGGAGATACTTCGAAGAAGATTGCTTCGCGGGCATCTTACCTCTTGTTGCAACTTGAACAGGCGCACCCTCTGATGAAGCCCACCATCATCGCCGCCGTCGAGGAAGTTCTTTTCCGTCCTGGTCAGAGTCAGCACGCCAAATACTATGCAGTTATCACGCTGAACCAGACGGTCTTGAGTGTCAAGGAGGAGACCGTTGCCCTGAAGTTGCTCGACATCTATTTCTCCATCTTTGTTGCTCTCTTGAGGCCTAACAAGGAGCCAAAGGGCAAGAAGAATGGGAAGTATGGCAACAAGCACAACAAGAACAAGGGGAAGGAGGACGCTGATAAGGGTCTGGCTCAGACTGAAGAGGTGCGGGATAAACTGACCTCTGCAGTTCTGACTGGTGTCAACCGAGCCTACCCGTTTACCAGCTCAGATAGTGAACGGTACGTTTCGCATATCCCTCCTTTCTATATATCACTAATCCGTCATTAGACTCTCCAAGCACATCGATACTCTCTTCCGCATCACACACTCCGCCAACTTCAACACCAGTATCCAGGCGCTCATGCTGATCCAGCAGATAACCTCGACTCACCAGGTTGGCGCTGATCGCTTCTACCGCACGTTATACGAGTCTCTTCTCGACCCTCGGGTTACTACATCCTCTAAGCAGTCACTCTACCTCAACCTTTTGTTCAAGGCCTTGAAGAACGACCTGAACACTCGCCGTGTGAAGGCGTTCGTGAAGCGTATTGTTCAGGTTCTCGGGTTGCATCAGCCCGCTTTCATCTGTGGTGTCTTCTACCTGATCCGTGAATTGGAGAAGACATTCCCCGATCTCGCTTCCTTGTTCGATCAGCCGGAAGAGAACGACAGTGATGACGAGGAGGTGTTCCGCGATGTTCCTGATGAGGATGACGAGCCCCAGGAGCAGCCAGAGGTCACACAGAAGCCGGAGAAGCCGTCGACTCAATACGACCCCCGCAAGAGAGATCCCGGCCACAGCAACGCCGACCGGACATGTCTGTGGGAACTGGTAAGTTTAATCTGCTAATGAAATGTTGTCACGCGCTAATAAGGTATCATAGCTGCCTTACCAGTCTCACTTCCACCCGTCCGTGTCAGTGAACGCGACTCATCTGCTCGACCACAAGCCAATGTCCGGACAGCCCGATCTCACATTGCACACGTTGTCCCACTTCCTCGACCGCTTCGTCTACCGGACCCCCAAGGCGTCTGCGCTCACCCGTGGTTCATCCATCATGCAACCTCTGGCAGGCAGCGAGGCCAAGGATCGGTTGGTCGCGGGCGGCAAGTCGATCCAGCAGCTGCCTCTCAACTCGGAGGCCTTCTGGAAGAAGAAGTCAGAGGAAGTTGCGGCGGAAGATGTCTTCTTCCACGAATACTTCAACCGCATTGGAAAGGGCCAAGACAAGGACAAGACCAAGAAGGCCAAGGATGCGGCCGACGAAGACGAGGAGGATGCCGAACTCAGTGGCGCCGAGTCCGAGATCTGGAAGGCGTTGGTTGATTCCCGTCCCGATTTGGAAGCAGGCAGCGACGACGACGATCTCGACATGGACGACCTCGAATCCGCTTACGACAAGTCTGACGATGAAGACGAAGAAGGCGGTGACAGCGAAGTCGAACTCAACCTCGACTCGGACGACGAGATGGAGGACATCGAAGAGGAGCAGCCTGCCACCAAGCCCAAGGCTAAGAAGGGCAAGGCCGCCAAGGAGGAAGAGCCATCCGACGACGAGGATGCATTCGACATGGACGTTTCAGACGACGAGGCCTTCGTTGACAGTGACGAGGAACTGCCCTCTGACGTGGAACTCGCAGCGGTTGAGGAGCCTCCGAAGGATGACAAGCAGTCTGAGCGGAAGAAGCGGCGCAAGCTCAAGCATCTGCCGACATTTGCTTCTGCGGACGACTATGCGGCCCTGCTGGCCGGGGAGGACGAGGGAATGTGATTTCGGAGCTTGTAGTTACTACCCTGATATGCTATCTATTGCAGTATACCACAAAAGCATGCACTTGGTTCGGAGTCTATCTTCCATTGTAATCCAGTTATATACAGCGCTATAGCTGCAGTAAAATGCAATAGAACCCAATAAATACCCCTTACTTTAAACATACCACCAACACACTACTCAATAAAGTAGTATGCAAATATGGTACGGGCCGCCATAATGGCTTCCATTCCATTCCATTCCCACTCCAGATCCCCCTTGCGCCAGCACCCCCTGACCCAGCGATAGAGACAGTCAAAAGACTCGGATTCATTCTCCGAGACTTTGCACCATGCAATTTGTCAATAGGAATACAAGTCTACTATTAGTGCCATCAAAAATACACACAATAAAAACCCACCATCCCATAGAGAACTACACCTTCATCCAGCTCGCTATAACTGATAGCTAGCTGCCGATAAGGTTCCATCAATCGCTCCCGCCGTGAGAAAGTGGCGTAAAAGCGGCGCCACTAGAGATCAAGCCAGCCGTTGTCCTAGATAGATTGGAGGACTAGTCTAGATTGTGGACAGATACAAGACTGCTGGAGGCGTAAGACTAGTGTCAGCCTTAGCGCCTGGCGTAAGGCGTGCATACCTTGAGAAGAGAGATTTTGTCGACTCGGCAGAGTTGCCGTGTTGTGTTATGGGGGGTTGTTTCCGGGTTATTTTATAGCCATGTTCCATTCTTGTGAGACTGAAATAATGATAGAGAATCAGGCGCGCTTTTAAGTACAGTGAGGGATAGCGAGTGGAATAGTGTATTTAGTATCGTTGAATTTGTACGCTGAAGTTACATAGTAGCTACACTACCTAACATACCAAGCAAAAGAGTTTTTAGTCTTAAGGAAAAGGGTATTTGTTGGTGAGATCTCCCTGCAGTACTAGTGCTGAGCGTGCATATGCGCATAAAGGCACATGGCTGCTACTTAAGAGTCTAAGAGTACACTCCTTACCCAACAAAGTAAGTAATCCCACCAGTCAATCCCCAGGCACGTGGGGAAGTGGCTTATCACGCCATCTACTAGCGCATAGCGTGCTCGACAAGGCTTAAAAGAAGCAGAAAATAATAATATAAGCAGTGTCAGATATTTACTGGCAGTGGCGGCTTTTTTTTTCATTCATCTGTTTGAAATTTCTTCCTCCCCAACCGAACCTTTACAGTTAGCTTAGTCTCTTTTTCA